CCGGTTTTGAGAAAATCACTTGTTGATCGGTGTATTTATCGGAAGATTAGTGGGAGTAAGTTTATATTTCTAGTTACGTATATTGATGACATTTTGCTTACTCGCTAATGACTTGGGTTTATTGCATAAGACTAAAGAATTTCTTTCTAAGAGTTTTAAAATGAAAGATATGGGAGAGGCATCCTATGTGATTGGAATTTCAATATTCAGTAAGAGATCGAAGGTTTATTAGGATTGTCTCAAAAAGCCTATATTGAGAAAATTCTTGAGAAATTTAACATGAGCAAGCTGCTCGGCGAGTGTAATCCCTATTCAAAAGGGAGATAAATTTAGTCTTATGCAATGTCCAAAGAATGATGTGGAACGTAAGGAAATAGAAACAATTCCATATGCTTCGTTGTGGGCGGTTTGATGTACCTACGAGCACGTACTAGACCCGACATCGGTTTTGCGGTAGGGATGCTTGGGTAGATATCAAAGTAATCCTGGTATTGATCATTGGAAAGCTGCAAAGAAAGTGTTGAGATACCTTCGGGGAACAAAGGATTATATGCTCACTTACAAGAGGTCTAATCACTTAGAAGTGATTGGATATTCGGATTCGATTTTCTTGGGTTTGTTGATAGTAGAAAGTCAACGTTTGGCTATTTATTCCTATTAGCGAAAGAGCAATCTCATGAAAAAGTGTCAAATAGTCTATCATTGCTTCATCCACTATGGAAGCGGAATTTGTAGCTTGTTATGAGGCTACAATTCATGTATTATGGCAACGAAACTTTATTTCGGGGCTTGGGGTTATCGACACGGTAAGCAAGCCGGCGAGAATTTATTGTGATAATTCGCAGCGAGTTTTCTTCTCTAAAAATGACAAATACTCTAGAGGTGCAAAACACGTGGAATTAAAGTATTTTGTTGTTAAAGAGGAGATTCGAAACAAAGAGTGTGTATAGAACATATTAGGACGGATCTCATGGTTGCGGATCCTTTAACTAAGGGTTTACAACCAAAAACTTTCAAAGAACATGTGCTTAGGATGGGTCTTGGTTGTATCGATGATTGATGATGATGTTTTAACACTCTTGAGCTCAATAATGATATGTTTCGAATTTTATATTTCTTGTTCATTATGTTTATGTATACATGATTGTTTGAATAAGAAATTTATATGTATTTTCATAACAAGTATGTGGATTGTATGTTGTTTATATGCAACTTATGAACCTAACATAATAAGTTCTTAATGTAGTGGTATATGGAAGGGAGTATACGACTATACTGTGTATGACCGCCATAACCCACATTATGTGATTTGTTGTGTTGAGGTACTTATGATGTTAACGGTTTATAAGATTTAATTTTGCTAGCCTTATGTTATACTATTAAATGTAATGATGAAACATCCGGCCAAGTGGGAGAATGTAAGAAATATGGCATGATGTTATGGCCCATATTTTATGTAAGCCCATATTAAGTTGGTTTAGGGTTTTCTTAATTTAATAGTATGTTAAATTTGGATCGTTAATTTAGTACTTGATGGACGTACAAGATTTAATATTAACGAGTATATAAACTAGTCCTCTCTCATCCTAAAGTAGTATGCGGACAAAAACATAAAAAATACGAACGCACGTATTTTGGCTATCCATCAAGCCACTTGCTACGGAAAAGAGGGTCGAGGAGAGAAACTAATTTATAAGGTTCGTGATTGTTGAAAGCTCTCTCACATCATGATGAATTCCGCTCAAGGTAAGTAATTTATTCGCTTTACTTATGTGATTATTATTTTATTCAAGATCCTGAATAGGCATGAATGATTTATGTCTTGATTATTGCATAGAATGATTTATGTTTTGATCTTTAAGCATGAAAGTTAGTTTTACGAGTAAATCCAAAAAAAAAAATTATTAAATTAATTAACGATAAAGTTTAAAACAATTATGGAAAAATAACATTCGATGAAAATATTTTACTCTAAGAATTTCGACTTGTAGTAAAGTCTCTGTAAGAATTAATAATTTTCACATGATAAAAAATTTAACTTTGACATTTTTATGTTAAGTGTATTTATATGTATAAAAATATATATATATAAAGAATGTTGACTTTTTTTTGTGAGAGAAGAACATAAAATGAAAAAAAAATGATTTTCTTTATCAATTAAGAAGATTTAAAAAAAAAAACCTTATTTAAATTTTTGACCCGACAAATATTTTGAAATATATATAAATAAAAAAACATGATTTTGTTTTGGATATAAAAAAGAAATTATAAATGTTAATAATACATTAAAGATATAATAGTCAATAAATTTTCTTGAAGGAGTTAGTACTTTTATCTATAATAATAATTTTATGGACTCGGCATCTAAAACCATTGTTTAAAAAATAAACAACCAGCACAAGGTAATCACTAATTTAAGCAAAATATAGAGAAGAATCAATGTCACCAATATGCAGAGAAGTCAACAAACTCCACGTGTATGGTTCCAAGACGGCTTCTCATTTTATGCAAGAGGAGTTTTGCATTCCCACATACATGTTTGTTCTAATTGACCGTCCTACCCAAAAACGGCAGAGGACCTTTTTCTTAGTCCTTAGATATCTAACTGACAATCATATTTATCTACACCCATTGAGTGTCGTACTTAGCAATTGACCACTTATCCCCGTTTGAAATTCTGACCTAGAAAATTAACATTTTCGTCATTCCAACAATTTGACAAATTCCTTAACTTTAACGATAACGAGAAACTGTGACAATGATGCCTATATTCATCTACTTATTTACACTGTTTTCCCATGAGCATCCTTGCTCGGAGCATGAAGCACACCTTGGTTGTAAAATAAATTCAGACGTCTCGCACACAAAATTCCTGCTTGCTGACTTCTGTAAAAATGCTTTGCCCTCTAAATGAAAAATTTATAGGTGTAGAAGGAATTGTTCAGTATATTAAAAATTATATTTTTCTCTTTTATAAAAATATAGAATTCATGAATTATTTTTGCAACGGATTTTATATTCTTGTAATTAAAATGAATATAATTATCGTATATATTCAGTAATTTCTCCAACTATACTCGTCAAACACAGGAAACATACACAAGTTGTGTTTGAAATTAAGAAACGTTGACAAATCTCTTGTGGTTTTTCAACAACTTAAATACCACTTCTTGTTGGAGTATTTTTATGAAAATATAATTTTTTAATTATATTAATTATTTTGAAAAAAAAGTATAAGTTGTTATTTTGAAACAGTAACATGTACTGTTTCAAAATATTCCTCTGGATATTAAAGTGCAAGCAAGGCTGCCATTTGAAATCATTACAAAAATATAAACGTTTGGTTATAAATTTTTACATTCAATTTTAAAAACAGTAATGTATTGATTTTAAAGAAACGACCAATTGTTTCTTGCCGTTGGTTATTTATTCATTTTTTAATTGTTTTAAACAGTTATTTCTTTTGCCTATATATATATTTGCTTGTTGATCATTTTGGAAGGAGTGTGAGATATATTGATTATAAAAAATATACAGTAATCATATTTATTCTCCCATTTAAAAGTCATATTATTATATTTGGTGGTTTCTCCAAACTATACGAGTCAAATACACGAAACATAAACAAGTTCTGTTTGAAATTAAGAAACACTGACAAATCTCTTGTGATTTTTCAACAACTTAGGTACCACTTCTTTGCAGCTTTCAATTGACTATGGCTTTATTTCCCTTGGGCCTTGGCTGGCGTTTTCAAATATGTTAGCTGATCATGTTGTCAATGGTTATTATTATTATTATTATTATTATTAAGGTTGTAAATGATTTGCTTCTTTATTATTTTATATCGGAATTCAATTGGAGATTAAGTGGGAAAAAAATAATAATAACCTCCAAAAACAGACTATTATAATTTTTTTTCCATTTTATTTTAAAAAATTATCAATGATAAATTAAAATTTAACACAAATTATATTATTTCAGAATGACTTCTTTAATGCAAATTCATTAAAGCGTTCTAATATAAAAAAAGGAGTAATATTGTTTAAATAAATACTTTTGTTAACATTTAACACACACACATATATATATATATATATTGCAAGGATTTGGTTTGAATAACTTATCAAATATTGAAAAATGAATTTGGTTCCGTTGACTATATAAACTATACATATATTATGAAAGAATGGTTAATTGCTTCGTTATTTTAGTTCTTGAGTAATTTATGTACTTCAAAAAAAGAAAAAATCTTAGCTAGAAAGAGTTTTATAATCTTTAGAATCGGGAAATATATTGTATTTATATTCTGAAAATAGTTTTTCAGTTTTCTTATTCATTTTAAAAATATTTTTTTCAAAAAAAAAATTAAGAAAACTTGTTTATTAAATACAATTTTTTGAAAATAAAAAATAAGAAACTTATTGGGCTTATCTTAAAAATAATAAAAAGGAGTGACATAAAACATTAGGTAAATTAAACAAGATAATTGAAGAATTAGAAGACACATGTTTTGTTTTTTTTTAAAAATTTTCATTTTTAGTTAATAAAGCCTCTTGTTTTTTTTTTTTTTTTTTTTGTTAAAAAACTTATCCACAAGTAAGGCATTCTAAAGCTGCTTTTCTTTCGAGATTGAAAATTAAATTTCGTTGATTTCAGGGTTGAAAAACTTCTTCAACTATCAAAAGTTGGAAAAAGTGTTTTCCTCACTAACAAATGACCCACAAGAAACCTGATCTTCGCTTATTATAAGGAACAAAATCTTGACTCCGGGGACCATTCACAATATTATATTATAATTGAGGCGCAGGGAATCTATACAAGTGACATGAAAAGTCAACATATACATATAAAGGGTTACCAAACTCCGTCGGTGGAGTTAACACATGCACGCCTGAAACCTCCCGTCAACTTAACAGAATTTACCAAAACCAAAACTACCTCTTCGTTTCAGCCAACGGACATGGTGTGGGAAGTTCCACCACAGATTATGGTGGGGCTATCTACCGGCCAACTGTACTGTACTGTGAGTCCCTCTCTCGGTTTAGTTGTGATGTGGAGCCCACAAACAATCTGCTGGGACCCATCAGGATTGGAGAAATAAGTCTGCCTGCCCAACATATGGTGCCTGTGCCTGTGCCTGTGCCTGCAAGATTTTCTAAGCCTATGTTCATATGTTGGTGGGTCCCCTTCTGCAGTACGGAACCAAAAAATATGCAGGAGTTGGTGACCGGTAGCCCATCATGGTTCATGGAATCAGAATGGAAATGGTCTTTAATTGACTCTAGATTTGTTTCCTTCTAGTATTAACAAGCATATTTACTGGACATCACTGCAGGGTGAGTTATATAATATTTTTATATATTTATCTATATAAAATATAAAATTTTAAAATAATTATTTAAAAAAATCATGTAAAAAAATTTAAAAATAAAAAACATCAAAACATATATTTTATATTTTATTACGGGATTAGCTAAACTAAAAGCTTGTAAAGTTGAGTAATATAATGTTACTAATTAGATATTTTTTGATATAAACATATATTTTATTTAAAATATTTATAATAAATGATAATTAAAATAATGATGCAGCATTTTTTTAAATTTTAGATGATTAATTTTTACTATATATTATTCATCCGAGACCACCAAAACAAAAAGACAAAAAAAACTTCGTCAAATCGAAAATTTGATAAAAAAAAATAGAAATAAAATTACACACGATTAAAATTAAATGATCTTAAAAAAAAAAAAGATCATAAAAGAATGATCAAAATAAATAAATAAAATTTAGTAAAAGCAAAAAAAAAAAAAATTAAACAATAAGATTAAAAACAATTCATTATGTATAAAGCAGGAACAAAAGTAAAACATGATAGAATTTTAATGATCAAAATTAAAAAAAAAACAATTAACAAAATAAGAACAAAAAAAATATTTTTTGCTAAAAGCTAAAAAAAAAATTAGAATAGTGAAACTATATTTAATTTTGGTGTAGAATGAATAATGATCAAGTAAAATAAAACTTTAATGATCAAAATAAAAGAAAGATCACAAAACAAAAATCAAAACATAACAAAACGTTTTACTAAAAGTAAAAAATAGTTCTTTATAAGGAAAAAATCAAATATAATAAAAATTTAATGATCAAAATAAAAACAATTATAAAACAGAGACTAAAAAAAATTCTACTAAATTTAATGATCAAAACCAAGAAAAAAAATCACAAAACAGGAATTATAATAGAAAGAAAAGTTTAACTAAAAGCAAAAAAAGAAAAAAAAAGGATAGTAAACTTTATTTAGTTTTAGTATAATAAGGATAAAAATCAAATATGATAAAACTTTAATGATTAAACTAAAAACATATCACAAAATAAGAACAAAAAAATAACATAATTTTTTACTAAAAATCAAGAAAAAAGATTTATTATAGGGATAAAAATAAAATATAATTAAATTTTAATATTTATTATACGGATGAAAATCAAATATAATAAATTTTTAATGATCAAAATAAAAAAATATTATAAAATAGAGACCACAATTAAAAAGTTTCCTAAAAGCTTGGCTCAAGAATCGAAACTGGAAAAAGGAAAAGAGAGGAGGGGGGTGGCAAAAAGTGATACAATAAATTTTTAATGATCAAAATAAAAAAACATTACAAAACGAGGATCAAAATGAAAAAAAAAATCTCTAAAAGCTTTGGCTAAGCACAAGAAAGTGCTACAACACTTTTCCGTTTTCTTTTAGTGTATCTTATAATTTTGCTACAAAACCATTTTTTTATATCAATTTTGTCTCCCAATAATAAAATAAATGGCGTCGATTTTCTTTAAAACTATATATTATTTCTTATTAAATAAAAATACAATTTGGATAGAATCTATGATTAAATATAGATATAAATAATTAATTGAGAATTTGTGAAACTTATATTATAAAATTGATACGAGTTGTTTGTGGATAAAATTGAGACTATTTATTTAATTGAGGGATTTTTTTAGGTTAAATAAAAAAAATATCTTTAATTATGTTAAATCATATTGAGAAATGATTATTTGTATATATATTTACTTGATAACGAGTATGCATAGAGAAAATGTATGAGCTAGTTGTACGGGATTGTAGATCATTTAGTCTACTCGTCAACCACTATATAAAGACATTTCCACCCTTTGTAACAAGCACTGTACGGATTCAATATATACAAAAATACTTTCTCTCTCGGTTTTTCTCTTCTTCACATGGTATCGAGCTAGGTCACGGGAGTTGTTCGTTCGTTCTAGATTCTTCGGCGAAATCACATCTCCTTTCTTGATCGTCTTCATTCCTCTTACTCGTTGCGGATTGTTCTCCTTTTGCCTTGAAATCACCTCTACGATATGGAGAATCCAGCTATCGATGCATCCGGAATTGCAATGCGCGATGTGAATGATCCATTGTATCTTCACCCATCCGATACACCAAATTTAATCCTTGTTACACACTCGTCGCAAGGCGAAGAAGATTATAGTTCATGGAGCAAGGCAATGATGATTTCACTTGAAGCTAAGAGTAAAGATGTGTTTGTCACTCGGAAAATTCGCTAAACCTAACATTGATTCTCCGGATTATAGACAATGGAAAAAATGTAATGCTTTGGTTCATGCTTGGATTTTGAATTCCGTATCTACTCAATTGTTCAATGGATTGGTGTATTACCAACTAGTCGAAGAAGTATGGAAAGACTTGAAGGAACGATTTGATAAACATCATGGTGCTAAAATATTTGCTTTACACAAAGCAATTAATTCTCTTATACAAGCCTCGATATCGTAGTCATGTTACTACTCGAAATTAAGGCACCTCCGGGATCGGTATGATTCCTTGATTCCTACGTTGACCTCTCGTTTGTTCGAGCTTGTCACGAGTGCGGTCTCTCATCCATTTACGGAATATACACAGCGAAGACAAAGTAATGCAATTCCTTATGGGATTGGATGATCAATTTCGATCCGTGAGGTCACGAGATCTTGCTAATGAGCCCAATGCCTACTCATTCCCAAGCCTACTCTATGGTATCAAATGAAGAATCGCGAGAGAAACATCACACCACATCATGAAGTCTCTGCTGCATTTTACTCGCTAAAGTCATACCTCGAGGAAGCAATTTCATGACGAAGAAATTGGCACCATGACATTGTACGTGATTATTGTCATATTGCAGGGCATATGAAAGATACATGCTACAAACTCCATGGATATCCGAAACCTATTAAAAAAGTTTTCACACCTAATAGAGGTCGAAGAGGTGGAGGAATTCATTTTGATGGTGGAGACGAGCGGAGGAGCTATACTGCCAACATTGCTACTCGGTCATGCGGGACGGTATACACCGAGTATGAATTTCAATCCGAGAATCCATGTTTTTGACAATGCAGATAGGCCGGCATCAACTCCAATATCACCACCGATATTTTCTCCACAACGATACCAGCGAGATATTGGAAATGTTATCAAAGGACACGAGCTTCGGGGCAAATTTCTCAACAGAATACACCTGCAGACAAATATGGTCGGTGAGTTTTTTTGTAGTTTGGTTGATGTGGTTTCTATTCCCGATGAATGGATTGTGGATACTGGGGCTAATGTTCATATGATCTGGTCATTTTAATTGCTTGAATAATCCTAAGCTCTTATCATCTAATTTCACTCGTTAGGTTACCTAATGGCAACGGAACTTTAGTTACTCATATAGAATCAGTTATCTTTCCATCATTTACCCTACAAAACGTGTTATATTTGCCGGACTTCAAATTCAATCTTTTGTCAATCACCAAATTCACCATGGATAATCTCTCGTTTTGTCTCTTTTTATCCAACCTTTTGTCCGTTTCGGGACCTCGAGATCGGACGAGACAAAGGGGATTGGTAAAGTAAAGGATGGTCTTTATCATGTCTTGCCCTCTTCATTTGACTCTGCTGCAATTTCATCTTTGTCTTGTAATCGAAAGTGTTAATCTATTAGCAACTCTATTGTCAATACTCGTTTCTTTGGACCATGTATCTCCAACAATTCATGATTTTTCCCGTAATAAAGTCGTTATTGCTCCTTTGTTAGGGGATGTAAATCTTTGGCATAAACGTCTAGAACACATATCTTTTTCTAGATCGAAATTGATTCCAGGTCTTTCTATATCATCTCCTCACTCTAAAATGTTTTGTGAAATTTGTCCCCTTGCTAAGCAAACACGTAATCCTTTCCCTCATAGTACATCAATCACTCATTCCCCTTTTGATCTTCTTCATATTGACATATGGGGCCACTTATAAGCATCCCACTTACAACCATGAAAAATACTTTCTCTCTATTGTTGATGATTACTCTAGAGGGACTTGGACCTTTCTCATGAAATCTAAGTCTCAAGCTCTCCAATTACTAAAAAAAATTTTATCTTCTTGTTTCAACTCAATTTCTCGGTCCCATTAAACGGATTAGGACATACGGGGGTTCGAATTTACTTAAACGACTCGTCAAGAATTCCTTACTTCTAAAGGTATTCTTCATGAAACATCCATTCCTTATACACCTCAACAAAATGGTGTCGTGGAAAGAAAACATAGGCATATCCTTAACATTGCTCAAGCCCTTAAGTTTGAATCCAACATTCCCATCGGATTCTAGGGAGATTGTGTGTTAGCCTCTATATATCTTATCAACGAACCCCTACACCTTTACCGCACGGATAGACTCCTTATGACATTTTATTTCATAAACCTCCGAGTCTTTGATCATCTTAAGGTGTTCGGTTGTCTTTGTTATGCCAAAGTGTTGCCTACTCCCGACAAATTTGCTTCTCGCTCTCAACCTTGTGTTTTCTTGGGATATCCCTACTCATAAAAAGGTTATAAAGTCATGAATTTACTCACTCAACATATCTTTGTCTCTAGAGATGTGTTCTTTCGAGAATCATCATTTCCTTTTCATTCTTCCACTCGCTACATCTTGTTCTCCTAATTCCTCCATTCCACACTCAACGGTTACTCATTGGGTATATGATGAAGATCTACCTTCCTATTCGGTTTCATCCAATCCATCTCTTGTTATTTCCAAATCCTCTCGTCGGTTTACCTTCTTCACATTCTCTTATAGTTTCTCCTCATGTTCCTCGTCGTTTCGATCTTGTGCCTCCTCGCAGATCTTCTAGA